CGCGAGGCGCGATCGTGGACGCACACTGCTGAAGAGCCCCACAGTAGAACGCAACGGTCATCCATTGCTTCCAGGTTTTTCATGATGGTTTAACTTCAATTGACTCACGATTTCAACTATTTAAATCAAAATTATTCACTATTTAATGAAAGTATGATAGTTTCATCATTTGATAAAATAGATTTTTGCTAATTTATTGTTTCAATAAGTAAACCATTTTTTAAAAAATTAGAAAACCACTTTTAAATATAATTTCTTATATCAACGAAACAATAAGTAAAATAATTACGGTATTTGAATAGATTATAATATAATTGTTATTTAATGAACTGTGGAAATAACTAATGGTTAAGCGCTCGCGCGCGAGACTGATAGGTCCTGGGTTTGAATCTCGCTAGGCGGGATCGTAAATGCGTACTGCTGAGGAGTCACACAATAGGATGAAACGGTCATCCATTGCTTCCAGGTTTTGCATGGTGGTCTATCTTCAATTGACTCATGATTTCAACTATATAACATTACTAAAATCTCCACAAAATCCCCTTCTGATAAATGATATTGCTTATTTGTATTCAAGTATAATATATTAATTCCAGTATATAAATATTATAATTAAGCATCATTGTTAATGTTATGTTTATGGTTACTAAAGAAGAAGTCGGTAAAACATTATACTAATTAGGAATTTATTTACTTATTGATTATTACTATACTATTTATTTATGAATAACACACCGACATGTTTATTATTTTAAAAATAATCATTAACTAGCAAAATTGCTTATTTTACTTTATTCAACTATAAATTCACTTAGTATTGTTTGTTTGAATCTTCCCATTGATGTATAGGACTGCAACTGGTCAGTCTCTAATTGGCATATAGGCATACTGTGAGTATTGCCTCGATATAGCCTAAATTCACAAGCATTGTAAGCAAAGATGGATAGTGGCTAACAGTGGAATCCCATTGATGGGAAATTTCAAACAAACAATACTAAGTGGATTTAAACTTCACCCCATTGCACAAGCAAGTGGCTATCAGAACTCAGTGACCGAGTGTATCACAAGATGGTGTTTGAAGCGAAAGGTTCTGGGTTCAAGTCCCAGAGTGAACATCAACTTGGAGATGCAGGTACATCCAGGTGACGAGTCTTAAATAAGGCAAAACGCGCGTCCTGGATTCCACTGCTAGCCACTATCCATCTTTGTCTATTCAAATATGTTAGAAATAATCATCTCTTTATAATATATACTTGATTTTTACTCCTTTAACAAATTATAAATAATATATGACTATTTGCTCTATTTATATATATGATGTAATGTTAACCAGTAAGCTAACTTTGACAGTGATTATAGAATACAACATTCAAAAATGGTCTTCTTTAATACACCCTTAGAAATAGTATTGATTATGGTTTTTCTCAACATTTATTTTGACTAGCCAGTTTCATCAATGGTTTATGGAGAAATTATGAAAACCCCTGTAATTCTACATAAAGTATTATTACTGATAACAATTTTCATTGCTTAACTGTGCAATGAATATCGTAATTCATTAGTTTACTCAAATAAAGAATCTATCTATATCTTTGATAGGATTAAACTGTTTTTGAGTAATTCAATCTAAGAAAACAATGTATATATGTATATTCCACAAATGATTGTGTTGCAAATGAATTATGCATGTGTCGTAATGTGAACCTTATGGTGGCATTACTTGAGTATAAATATTATGTTCACAACTGTAACCAGAGAGTCATGAGTATTTAATAAATTTACTGACACTTCACAATCACTTACTGATTATTGCATTAAAAAATTGTTTTACTTAAGTGAATTCAGCTTTTACAATGTAAATAAAGTTTAAACACTTTGTATTGTTTGTTTGAATCTTTTCATTAATGTTTAGGGCTGATAAATTGCACTCTTAAATATCAATGGGAAGATTTGAACAAACAATACAAAATGAATTTAAACTTCACCCCACTTCATAAGCTAGTGGTTATCAGGACTCATCACCTATGTAGATAACGCGATGGCGTTTGAAGCGAACAATACTGAGTTAGAGTTCCAAAGCAAATATCAACTCTAGAACACAGATACATCCAACCGACGAGTCTCAAATCTGGACGAAATGCACGTCTTGGATTCCACTGCTAGCCACAATTCATTTTTACTTATTGTGTTTAAACAATTGAAATACCGAAAAATATAGAAGAAAGAAGATCAATAAAATAAGAATTTATTAATTCCTTATTCAAAATATTTTGTGGGAAATAATATTTTCCTTAATGTTAATGGTATCAAAAAAAATTGTCTGGATTCATTTATTGTTTTCATTTGTTCAAATAATCATTTTTTTCTTTATTTATTTGTAATAAGAACGTGACCTCAGTGTACATATTTATTGATAAGTCATCCCTTTAGTCTAATGGAAGAATGAACTTGTTATTATAATAATGAGTGTTATGATTTTGCTTTAATCGATAAATATATATATACCACATAAGAGAAATAAATGAATATGGAATTCTGGAATATTCTATGCTGATTTACTTTATGGATCAATGTAGGTCGAATAGTAAGTTATTGGAAATTTACCTTATCAATCAATAAATCTAATACACTCCAATTTATTCTTAATAAGTTAAACTATGGTAGAATATTGTAGCTGCGTTTGAGTTAACTTAGATTTTTTGACTATATCATGGATGACATTTTGTATGTGTTAGAGATAAACGTCTACTCTGGGATTCTCAGATATTTGTTTATTGGTTTATTTGCTCTTATAGGTCTTTATAGGTTTTGTTGATTGAATAAAGCGAATTCCTTCTAAACGCATCACAGAAAATTACATATCGTGTGTATCAAAAGAATCAATATAATCAACACTGCATTATAGAAGCATTTCATCAACTCTAATCATGTTGCTTTAATAGAATTATCTCTCAAAATAATCTATAGTGTTAACTCAAATAGTGTACAAGTGAAAACTTGTCAACGGTATTTCTTTTAAAGAATTCATAATTTAACTATGAACTCTTTGTCTATTAGCATCATTTGGAATATATCATTTCTTGTGGCTTCAGTATCGCAATTCATCTTGCTTTTAATTAGAATTAAGTTGTTATCAACCTCATCCATTATCCGCGATGGTCGTTCATTCATTAATATTACCTTCACATTTTTCATTTCTTCTTCGTATATGTCATGTAGGTAATTAATTGTTAACGTCTCTGACCCTTAATTTACTTTCGTCTCACTGCTTTGTTTCCTTGACATCATTGAGGAACATATTTAAAATTCTGAACAGTTTTCCGTATAATCTCTTTTTGTTCTTCTACATAGTAACATATTTTTCAAATTACTGCATAAACAACTACATGGCTTTATTAAGTAACATCACTGAAAAGAAAACATTCCTAGCTGAGTAATCTCTATTAATTTGGATGACACAGTGGATTTCATTTATTACCCAAGTATGAACTAACGTTTTGGAACGCAATGTGAGCCTCGCAGCAGAAATTATAAAATCTATTGTTCTGTGTGAATGATTTAGCACTGGTCAACTGTGGTAGAACTAGTCTTTTTTAAACTTAATACTTCAAGTTATGATAGTTTGCTGGTATATTCAGAATTTTCCATTATTACACTTAGACAGTTTGCAAAATTCATAGACTAATTTGAAATATATATAAATAGTTATATACAATAACTAATATTTTTGAACTCATCTTCCTTTATTTAATTGTAACTGAATTATTTAATTAGAATAAAAATTAAAATAAGATTTAGTAATCTTTTACCATTATGTATATGTTTTTGAGTCTTATCATGTACAAATCATCGCTGAAAGGTAGTCTGATCTGTGTTTAAACTGGTAATATATTGGTTATCCCTAAGTAAAAGCATGAAGTGGCACTGTATTCAAATAAACAGCTTCATGGATGTTTTCTTCTTTCTAAATCACGAGGATGACATAGTCATCTACTGACATTTCACGTTTTTTCTTCATTTCAAACTTTATTTCTTAAGTTTATTATTCCCTTACATTTATATAATACTATCATGGTTTACAGTTTACTTAATTACATTAAATAGGTTGATATTCGCTTCGGTTGTAAGGGTGTACACTATGTCCTACAAAACGTAACATTGTTTAAACATAAAGTCAGTAAAAATAAATATTTCAAGGTGATCCAAAATCAACAAGTTCAGTTCAAGATTACGATTTAACCATTTTATTCATTATATAATTTTATATAAAAAATGATCATTCTTCTTAGTTTCATTCATAAAGAGAAAATAGTTTTGTCTGCATAGTCCATTATTTGCATAAAGTTAAATAGATTGATTAAATCAATACAAAGTTTTAGTCAACGTATTTTTTTACAAATACAACTTCTCATCATCATTTCCAACAAAAATAACAGAAACGCTTCTAAAATCCAACATGATATAAAATAACTAGTGTAATGTATTAGTTTAATACAAATTACCATCTAAATGGTTGTAACAATGTCATATACAATGAAATAACGTCAATAATATTAAATAGGAATAATATATTTGTAAAATATTAGCGTATGAATTCTTTGAAAAAGCTTGGACCAGATTATCAGGTGAAACGTTGAATTTACTTCGAATTCATTCGCTGAGATTTTACAAATATATTATTCCTAATTAACGTCTTACATCAATTTGGCACTCAAATACTGTGAAACTATTCGCTCTAATTTAAAAGAAATTTCCTTTATATAACATCAATAATCCTTAAAAAAATCATTGTACAATGATTTGTAAAGTCTTTTATTATTGTTAACAATCAAAACAGAGGTATATAAAAAAAAACTAATTATATCCTATTCCTACTACGGTTATTCATTTTTCTATACGATTATATTCAGTAATGTATATAGGTAATATAGATAGACAAAAGATTTATTCTACAGTACCAATTACATTTATGAAAAGAAATTGATATACATATTACTTACCATAAAACATTATAAGTTGATATATCAAATATATTAGATCCATTTTGTCTAAGTTAATGTAATCATTGATTATGAATTATAAATGTACCAAGATTTAGCATTGAAAGAAACATCAATTCACATATACTATAACACAAATGATATGAATTTAATGAATTCAATAATATGAGATTATCTTCTTGATATATTTATATATGTGTATACTTATATATATAAGTAGTCAACATGAATTTTCTATGCTGAAAAAAAAGGATTTACAATGTAAAACTGTTTAAATCAATAATAATCATTCCTTTATTGATTTTATTGTTATATTACATTCTAATTATATAAATGATTCTTATTATGTATGTAATAAACTTCAAACGGTTTTTATTTTTTTCAATGTTCACTGTTTATTTTTTGTTTTGTTTTAATTTTTCAAAAGAAATCAATATTGAAGAAAAACAGATGTGAATTAAAAAAATTGTGGTAATTTAATATAAAATTAAATAATTCCAGTTTTCAAAGTTTATTCAAAATAATATTCATAGTTACTGTCCTTGTGAATATAATCATAAACAGTTACTGTTGTTTTTTTTAGAATTTTTTTCTTATTTTTTTTAGAAAAAAAACTTTGTCACTGTTTAATAAATTGTTTTAAACTATGATGTTTTATTTTTTATGTGGTAGGGAAATTCCTCTCAATTGATGTTTGATTTTTGGATATGAGAAAAAAAAAATTAAATTTGACCACACCCAACTATCATGATAATAATGTTCATATTAATTTTTATGAGTAGTATTACTAATAAGTTAAATACTGATTAGTAGTATAATATTGGATAAATTAATTGGATAAAATTTAAACTTTATTTATTTAAGAATTTCAGATATGTATGTACAGTATTCTCATCATTTATATATATACACACACACATACAAATATTTACATTTTTATACAAAATTATATAAATATCAACTATCCTAAATTATTATCCAATCAAGTGAAGAGAATGAATTTCCATAAGCTTCATTGGTTCGTACATAATTACTTTTGGATATATACATATTTATATATGTACATATTTGTAGTTTTACAACTGACTAATAAGGACATGGTTAAGAGACAATCATGAATACAAGCTTAATTAAAATAAAGTCAGTCGATTCAACAATAAATTTCATCAAATCTGCATTAAATTAAATCAAATTTCAAAGTTCTTTTTTTTAACAGATTAATAATTTACTATGAGATTCAGTGACCTGAAGGAAATTAGTAAAATAATATGACTTAACTATATGTCATCGAAAGAATAAATTAATTTAATACTACTTAATTGACAAACATTGTTTGTGCTTTTTAACTTAACTATAAGTTACAGTTCAAAAGTGGTAGTTTCAATGAGGAAACTTCAAAGATTTTACTTAATAAGGATCAACTTAAGTAGTATTCTCTTTGTAAACCACCAGTGAGTGCAGTCGAAGGTCCTAGTTTTGAATCACGCGTGCAGAATCGTGGATGTGCACTTTTAAGGAGTCCAATGCAAGGATAAAATGGCCATTAATTGCTTTCAGGTTTTTATTGATGGTCTAAAATTGATCAATTTATTATTTCCATCATAAATCATCAGTTTTTGCATCAACTGAAGTATAAATGACTGATTTAAACAAGCATACACTAACACTTGTATTTCCTAAATCATCACCTTGAAAAAGATAATTCTGATTGAACATTATTGATTAGCCAAAACGCTTGAAAAATTCAATTTTAATACGAAAATAATGGTTCCAAAAAATAATCATTTCCTTCTGATTATTAGGCGACGAATCTTTTGGCTTCTTTGTAAAAACTGTCCAAACATTATTTTAAATAATGCTTTGTTTCGTGCAATCAAGTTTGCCATTCTAGAAATTACAATGCATACTGTGAACAATAATGTAACTATGTTCACTTAAAAAAATACACTTTTCTTAGTTTTTCATTTTGATTAACCAATTTTAAATGTTCAATCAAGGGTATTTGTACATTTATATTATTGTACAACATCATGATATTGCCTGTTTTTAACTTATCCATCGGATTATTGTGTCGTAAACAAAAATCAGCGAAGTAGATTTACTTTTCGGCAAAATCATTTACTGCATAGTAAGAATATGTCGATGGAAAGATAGAATAGATTGTATCACTCAGTGATTGAAGACTCAAAATATGAAATGAGGTTGCTTAACAATCTTGGTGTTAGAGAAGAATAGAAGGATGAAAATAATTTACGTGTCAGAATCATGAAAGATTATTGTCCGCTTGACAGATATGATGTGCTTTTTTCTTGCTGAGCACTAAATACTAAAGCTAACAAATGATATTCACTTATCTTCTCTTGAAAACGTCATGGACTGATGTCCAACGAAATCAGTATACGAATCCCAATAAAGACAGCTTGAATCTTATCTACTTATACCAGATACGGTTCATCTAAGATATCCATCTCCCCATCAAACGCTGAAAACACAGGATGCCATTTAACACTAAACTAATTAGCAGATATGGAATATGGCCTTCGAAAATTAGAAGTATAGGAATGCAGGTATTAGCCTATCAAAGAAAACATCGACCAATGATCCTTGAGGTGGAACTTAAAAGAAAATGGTGCTGACGTTTGGATTGAGATACAAGATACATTAAATTATGAGGCTATGGAATTCATTGACAATCGTGATTGGTCCCAAGTTATTTCCTTCACTCATATAATAGTATGAATGACAAAGTAGTAATTTGGAATAAAACCAAGAACTGACAAAACATAACCGAGCATTAGTTCATAAAATACTTTACTAAAAATATGGTCAACCGCTTACAGAACACATTTCCTGGTTGAAGTCACATTCTTAATCACAAAGATCTTAAACGACATGAGCCATAATGAGTTTCAATAGAGCCAAACGTTTTTCCTCTTTTTCACAAAATTTTATTTTATTTAGGTCTTTATATTTTGATTTTATTAATTCACTTTAAGTTTTTATTCCCCTACATTGATTGCTTCCCCGTACCCATGGCATTATTTCTGTTAAGTCTTCCACTTTGATGATATAAAGTGTGACAAACTGTGTTAACTAGGCGACTTATTTTATCCCGGGTTACGAGTGACTCCCTTTCACTATATATCTCTACTAGATGTGTAATAAATCAAATGAAAGATTGAAGGAGAGATTAGACCTAGATTTAAATTTTTTCATCTGACAGACAAAAGTAATCTTGATCTAGAAAAAAACATCCGACGTCAGTATTAATATGTGTTAGATGTACTTAAAAAAACGACTATTCTGTAACGTCAACCATATTTTGTAGAATATGTAACGGAAACTTCCTTGCAACCATATACTCACCACTATATACGTTTGTACAATGACTTTGTACAAATTTATATTAAATCTATGAATTCATCAGGAAAAGATTTCATTATTATTAATGACTTAGATCTCAATAATAGTGGTATAATAATGGTATTCCACGAAAGAAATTTCTCTGCAACAAACCTAAACTCTCTAGCATCAAGACGTTTGACTGGTTAAATGATTGCAGAATACTTTAACAATAAATTATTAGCACTGTTATAAATAAAGTATAGTATTAACGATTGAAGGTTTCATGGCTCAATAGATTATGAAAATGAACTTGCTATACTCACACTAGATCACGTGGCCATTAAGTATAAATGAAATACACATCATGGCTATATCCTGAGTTATATCTGACAATCTAAATATACTTTTAATAAGACAGTATTGATTATTATTTTAATCCCTTTTTTAAGATGAAACTAAATGAATATTGTTTTCAGTAGCAGAGAAACATTATAGTGATACTATGAATTTACAATAAAAACTTCATTACTATTTAACTTATATTTTACAATATTGTTTTTATAAAGAGACAAAATTATGACAACGTTCTATATTATTTTACAATAGGGGGTAGAAAGTAATCGATTAGTAAATTATTACATAAGTTTTTCGTATCCATAAAACATTACTACCTTTTAATTAAGAATCTATATATGCAATCAAAAGTACTAAAATAAACTATATTGATTTTCCAAGTAACATATATAAAGTATAATGAATAATTCTTACAATTGAACTAGAAGATAACGATCTTGCGTATGTATAGAATCTATTTATAAATAAGCAATGATGACAGGTATCAATAATAATGCAATTGACGATTTAAGTACTTAATATAGCTGATTGTGCAATCGCCTAATAAAGTAATCTTTTTAACTGTAGATCTGGGTAAAGTAAATATAAGTGTATGATGTAAGAAAATATGTAAGGGCTAATAAATTTGTTAGTTGTAAGAAAATCTTGAGAAATTCATAAGTAATTCGACATTAAATAAATTGCTAAGAAGTAGTACCAAAAATACAATATGTATCATTTTGTATAAAATATTAGAAATATATGGACGAAATGTGTACCTTGAAGAAGTAATCCTCCTTAAAAATGTCATCTAGTTTTGTCGTTCTAATTTCTTAGTAGATGTAGACAACATTTTTCATCTTAAGGTTTTACAAAGGAGGACAGTGCATGAGATGTGCTCTATATACCGATTAACAAATTCTTTTGGTAAGGATACTTACATGGTTCGTTTAAATACTTGTACAACCTTCAATTCAGATATGTATATTTCTTCATTAGTAAACTGCAATCAACAATCATTATTCTGTTATTATATGGAGCAATAATGAAGTTAGACTACGGTCTGGTATTTGAGATCAGAATAGCAACTAACTGAGTTCTGCAAATGAAAATAGTTACGCGAAAAGATAAAATAATCTTTTCAGCTTTTCTAAGACATCAACTGTAATCATTCCTTTTCAAATTTCATCCAGTCATCTTAGGGGATTTTCGTGTTAAATAATGTTTCCGTAAATAACTCCAAAATATGTGATGATATGTCATCTAACACTCACTCGATAGGTTACAGTTATCAAATAATTTTGAATTTTGATTAACTATTTCACAAAATCTATATTAAAATAAGAGCAAATTCGTTTCTGAAAAAATAGTAGCCTCGATAACCTTCAAACAAAGTTACATTTAAGGATTGGATTGCTAAATTTCAATGTTCTTATGCTTTTGCGGTTATCTAATTGAACAAGCATTAGTTTTACAAGTCCGAAATTTCATAATGGTATCATCTTTCATTCGTCAAACTACTTATATACTTAATAACTGAAGATAAGCTAGACTATACCATCAAGCAAGAGACATGAGAAAAAACATAATGAAATACTGGTTGACTGATTCTTCCTATGTACTGTATTGATCAAACTTCACTACTTCGCAGTTTACGATAAAACATCAAAAAAGCTGGAACTTAACTTGTTACTTCATTTAAACGAATTAGTATTTGCCTATTAAACAGAAATGCACGCATTTATTCTCAACATTGAAAAAAATATCATTGTGATAAAAGAATGTAAAAATAATGTATTTCGTAATACTATCAGACACATTTGTCAACAATATGTTACACAGATTGTAGATAAACAAGGTGAACTAATCCCGGTAGCTTACGTGAATGACTCTAAAGTAACTCAATGTACGTCAATGTTCTTCATGAATTACTTTTAATAGCTGCCAAATAAAAGGAAAGAAATTCAAACAAAATCTATAGGTACTTTTCGTTCTCATATTATTCTTTTCAGTAAATGAATGGCAGAAAAAATTTTTTTCTATATATATATTGTCTGTTATATGCGTCATTATGATTATAGTTCTGATAAATAAACGACTTCCTGGTCTGTTTTCATTCCCCTATAACATTCAAGTTATTATTACTATTGATATCGGAATATTATTAATGAAAGCTGTCAAAATAAATACATTGATGAAGAAAAATAATAGAACATAATCATCTATATATAGTAATAGTATGG